TAGTCAGTAAGTCTGTAAGTTACCTTTGTATGATAGCAGTCTTTATTTTCTTAAAAACATCAAGTATTTCTTTGCTAGTCTATGTACAGTTAAAGTATGATATTTTGTGTTTGGTGTTATGATCAGTGCTGTTCTAGACTTAAATTATAGAAGACAACTGATTTTACAACTTATATGTTGATACGAGTTTGACTTCCAGGTATTTTCAATTGCTAGTTTTGCTATCTTAAGCAAACATATATTATTATTATCTTTATTTTCTCACATATATTGGAGGTGGCCAAAGGACTTCTGGTATTTTCTTCCTACAGAATCTATACTAATGATACAAAGGAGAACCCTAGAGTAAAAACCATATTAAGTGGATAAAGGGTGTTGTATAACTGAGTATATCTAACCTGAAATCTAAATATTCCAAAATCTTAAGTTTTTGTGTACCATTGTAGAACCTCAATGACAAAGTTCACACAGGTGCATCAGAAATATTGTATAAAATAAACTTCAGTTTCTGTGTATGGGGTAGCTTTCACTCTTATCTGCAAGATACTCATTATTACCTCAAATATCTCCAAACCCAGAATTCTTTGAAATCTGAAACACTTTAGAGTCTGTTAAACATTTCAGATAGGGAATACTAAACCTGTATCTGATAAAATTGTATTATTAAAGAAGGGAAGCTTGAAATTTGTTCACTTAATCTTTATCTTTTATCAGTGCTAATACAGTTTCAAGAGCTTTCCTATTTCCGGTTTCTTAAGTAAGGAGAATCTAATAATGAAAAGGAGAAGTAAAATGGTGCCTATTATTCTGAAACACGAAAAGGAGAAGACTAGCACTTTTACCTGTGCTGTAGTTGAACCATTTTTTTTCTTTTTTAACTTCTCATATTAGATCCCAACCTCATTTCCTTTCCCACTTCTCTCAGTCCCTCCCTTCCACCTCTCCTCTCTCATAGATCCTCTCCTGCTCATCATTGCCCTTCAGAAAATGGCAGGCCTCCCAGGGATATCAATTAAACATGGCATGTCAAGTTATAATTAGGCACACCCCCTCATATTAAGGTTGGACAAGGCAACCTAGTAGGAGGAAAAGGGTCCCCAAAGCAGCCAAATATTAGAGACAGCCCCTACTCCCATTGATATGAGTCCTACAAGAACACCAACCAACACAACCGTAACATATATGCAGAGGACTTACCTAGGTCAGACCCCTACAGCCTACCTTATCCTTGGTTCAGTCTCTGAATCCTGTAAGCCCTGGTTGGTTGATTCTTGTAAATGTAGCTTTATTAGGTAAATAATCCCAGCACTTGACAAGCTGAGGCAGTTCAAGGACAGACAGTCTGGCTAAATAGCAAGATTCCTTGCCTACAGAATTTTCATGTACACATTTAAAAAGTGAATATTCAGACTCAAATGATGCTCATGGTGTTCATTATGTGTCATAATAGAACAGTGTTGAATAAACACTGAACACTTCTGTTTTTAATCACTGCTTAGACTACAGGGCTTTTTTGTTTTGGTTTTAGTTTTTGGAAGTTTTTTTTGTAGGTTGTTGCTTTTATGTATAATGATCATTGAATCTGTGTGTATCTTTGTAAACATGGGCAATTCTGTCTACAATTACATTCTTGAATTACCAAGTATCTGTGTATTTTGTATTTAATATAAATTGCCAAATATTGCTATAAGAAAGAAGTTTCAGTTTAAAATAGAACTGCCAATAGTGTATGAATTTGGGGTGATCATTTAATAGATATCAAAGTTTAATATGCCCCAAACTGAACGGTATTCATTGATAAAATCTGTTCAGCAGTCCTGTTTTCTCACTGCTCAGGCTCAGACTTTGATGTTATCCTTGACTCGACTCTTATTCCATGATGTCTGATAATTCTGTAGATCGTGCCTTCAATTCAAATGAAACCCCTTCTTACACTTTGAATCTCAAATTTTGGTCTCTGCCATCTTCATCACTCCACCCACATTATAGCAGTAGCCTTCTAATTGTCTCTACCTCTATTCTTTATTGACTTCTTAACAACTAGGTAATCCTCTTAGATGCTTTATTTATTAGATTTATTTATTAGGTTGGCTTTCATGATAGCAATGGCTGTCTTCACACTGGAGAGGCTGAGAACCTGGTGGCTGCTCAGTCCACGTGGCTGTATGTCTCAACAGTGCCAATCTGGTGAGGAACTCCTGAAGGATTCCTGGGGATCCACTGATCATAGTCCATGTGGGAATGCCAAAGAATCTGGGTCCCAGTGTTGGTGGAGAGGGCAGGAGTGATGGCATCAGGGTAAAGGAACTTGACAGGTGTGAAAGCAGTCATCAAAAAGCAGTTCCCTTTCCTCAGAGCTGCTGATATCTGAGCCACCCTTGGAAGGGCAACACACATTCAAAGACGGAACTCCCACGTCAGTTAACATAGTCAAGAAAATCACTCACAGGTGTGCCCAGAGATTAACGTACAAAATTCTTCAGTGTTTCTAGAGGCCTGTCTCAGTGATTCTAGAGGAGTTGTTCTCAACCTTCCTAAAGTTGTGACCCTATAATATAGTTCCTCATGTTGTAGTGACCCTCAACCATAAAATTATTTTCCTTCCTTTTTTTCTCTCTGATACTTGGAAATAATTTTCTTTTATAAAGCTACGTAGCTTTATTAGTCATAGATATTAGAGGGGGTACTTATTAATGCCCTTGTATTTATAAGAAACCTGCAAAAGTAAACCTTTTATTATTCTTTGCCTGTTTCTAGTTGGCATTGCAGTTTTATTTTGAAGGTAGTTACTGTACAGAGAAATTGAATAAATAGTTTGTAATGTTATTTGCATATATGTGTTGATATGAAACATTCCAGTATATGCATAAAATTAGCATTTCTGAATAATTGTTTTAAGATTTAAAAAAAGAGTCCTGTTGCTCTTATGTAATCATCAGCTGGTTTATTTATCATTTTATTTATAAAACATTAGTGAGAATAATAGTGTTATTAGCATATTACAGATAAAGAAATTGAGGCACAATGTAACTAAATTACTCCACTGTATATCTTAGTGTGTGAAAAAAAAAACATATGAACCTAAGCCATCTGACTCAAGAGACTTGCTTACCTCTGAAACACTAGTTGAGAGCTGCAGTGATAGTCTCCCTTGATCTAGGGCAGAGGTACTCAACCTTCCTAATCCTGTCTCAATCCTTCCCAATCCTTTCTCATGTTGTGGTGCCTCCCCCAACCATAAAGTTATTTATTATATAATATTTTATAAGTTACTTTGCTATTGCTATGAATTGGAATGTAAATATCTGATATACAGGATATCTACAATGTGATTCTGGGGGGTCTTTGACCCACATGTTGAGAACCACTGTTCTGGAGCAAACTGATAACATCCTCTCCATCCCCATCCACTCCAGAACCCTCTGTGAACCCATGAGCCACTGCTTATAGTCAGTCTTAATTTTTATCTGTTGTGCCACAACTATGCCACTTTTGAGAAATGAAAGATGTTTCTGAAAACATAATGTGGCCTATGTCAACAATGTGAGTACCTAAAAAATTAAAATGTACTGCCATTTATCAAGGCACTTATTTGATCTTTATGGAATTTTTTAGTAGCCCTTTTATACACACTGTGTTAGTCAACCTTCAAAGGAGTCTTGTGAGAACATATAGTATGTCTGTTTTAAATGAATGTGGTATAAAGAAATGAAGTCAAAGTTGTCTAGGTAGAAAGGCTAAATTTGAGGTGCACTGGCTCAGTATTTTACTTCTTCCATTTTAAGTACTAACCAGGCACAACTTTTCTTAGCTTCTAAGATTACATGGGATTGGACATGTTCAGGGTTGTATGACCATAAACAAAATGTAAACCTAACAATGTATATGACAGTGGCCTGTCTTCCATTTTAAAATTAGGAGGATTATGTTCGCAGCCAAAATAGTTTTCACAATCCATTCTTCACAATATGAATTTAAAATTTTTGTAATTATGTATAATAATACTAAGTATGTGCAAGATAAAACCACAGTAGTGATCATTAGGAAATGCAAATATGGTAATTAAGTTAATTGTAAAAATTAAAACAGAGATAGGGAGATGGCTCAGTTGGAAAAGTACTTGCCATGTAAGTATGAGGACCTAAGTGTGATCCTAGTTTAAAACAAACAAGCAAGAAAACTGGACATGGTGGCATGTACTTGTGATTCAACCACCAGAGGAATCACACCCAAGGTTGATCATTGGTCACATGCACAAGCATTTCCCTTCCATACATGAAAACATATGCACATGTATACATTTTTATATAGGATGCTGAAGAAACACTGTGGTTCTTTTGCTTTAGTTCCTATCCACCCAACTAATAAAAGTGTTTTATGCTGATGCTACTTGGATATCACATTAAGGCCCTGTTTCTTCTCAGATGACCTGTGATTATGTGTTTCTATTCTCTGTCTGGTAACTTCTAATAGATTCACATGGGCTGATTTTAAGGCTTTGTTTCTGGAAACTTGAAACACTTGAAGATTTCTGAGAAAGTGAACAATATGGGCACCACATCATGGGTATCTCACAAGTGTGATATTTATACTCACAGAAAAAATTTACTTGGTCTATATGACAGAATGATTTAAAACTGGCTATGTAGATTGGCAGTGATCACCAATTCATTGATGGAAGTATATTTTGCTACTTTGTTGCTTTCTTTTTATCTAACTCTCACTTCTGATTTCACATTTTTCTTTATTCCTCTTTCTTTGGATCCCTTTCTCCCACTTAGATCATCTAAAGGTACTGCTTAATTTATGAGTAGCTTGAAATTCAGTTTTCCAGTTTTTGCTGTAGGGGGCGAGCTTTGGGGCACACCCTAAAGGGGGGTAATGAAGGTTAGTCAGCCTTACTGTCCTTTGCTTCATGAAAATCAAAGAAATATTCCCCAGAATCCTGGAGCTGTGCTATGTGCTTACAGTTATTTGACTTTGTTTTAGGAATTTTAGCCATGAATGAAGAGAACACTGATGGAACAAATGGATGCGGTAAAGTACGCACTGGCACTCAGAATGAAGCCGCATTGCTGGCTCTGATGGAAAAGACTGGCTACAACATGGTTCAAGAAAATGGACAAAGGAAATTTGGTGGTCCTCCTCCAGGTGGGAGTTTGCTTATACTTGTTTAAATTAAATCTTTAGCATAGTCATTTAGATTAGGCATGTATTCTCACAAATATCCTAACCAGTCTCAGCTGTGGTTTTGAAAGAAATTATGCATTTATTTACAACCTTGTTCTTATTTAAAAAGTAATTGAGAAATACCATGGTTTAGTTGAGAAATAAATGAGGATTTAGGGTGTCATGGAAAATTATGCTCAAGGCATTAAAGACAAGTCATTTGGGGAGGAATTTGAAAGCGCAGTAAACAGAGGCATAGTATCTAAATAGCCCGATTCAAATAGGCATGGTATCTTACAATTCTAACTATAGATTTCTTTGCTCAGAATTTCCAAATGATTAAATAAAATTCTGGCTTATAGTCAGTGTTACGTCACTTGCTACTGTTCTTCTCCATCTAGTACACTTTAGACAAGAAGGCATCTGTATTCTAGTTTTCTTTTGATTTTTCCTCTCCAAGATAATCCTTGTACTTCACTCTCTTAGTTTCAGTCAGGTCCTTGCATAAACTTTGTACCTATTTTAATGGTAATACCCCTTATGTGACTATATTTTCCTCACAGCATTTTGTCATTTACACATTTTATCCTAGAGTTATGTTAAAATAAATTTTACAATAGAAAGAACTTTATTTTTTGTATTCCTAACATTTAGTATATTGCTTGCCATATAAGTGGCTGATAGCCAATTTGTTGAATGAGTAAATGAATCAGTTATGAGTGTAGCTTTTTTTAATTAATTTTTTTATTAGTTCAAATTAGGAACAAGCTGGCTTCACATGTCAATCACTTCTCCCTCCTCTCTGCAACCCTCCCCCCCAAGCCCCCATCTGCCCTCTACCCCATCTGTCCTCCACTCCCCAGGCAGGGTAGGGCCCTCGATAGGGCTCCCCTAAGTCCACCACATCGTCCTGGGCTAGGCCTAGGCCCTCCCCCATGTATCTAGGCCAAGAGTGCATCCCTTCATGTGGGAAGGGCTCCCAAAGTGCCTTCTTACTCCAGGGAAAAATATTAATCCACTAACAGGGGCCCCCTAGAGTGTGGAGGCTTCCTCATTGACATCCATGTTCAGGGGTCCGATTCAGTCCTGTGCTGGCCTCACAGACAGCAGTCTGGGGTCCATGTGCTCCCCCTTGTTCAGGCCAGCTGATTCTGTGGGTTTCACCAGCCTGGTACCTACCCCTTTGATCTTTATTCCTCCCTCTCTGCTACTAGATTCCAGAGTTCAGTTCAGTATATACCTGTGGATATCTGCCTCTGCTTCCATTAGCCACTGGATGAGGGCTCTAGGATGGCATAAAAAATTAGTCATCAGTCTCATAGGGGAAAGGAATTTAGGTTATCCTCTTCACCATTGCCTAGATTGTCAATTCATGTCTTCCTTGTAGATCTCTGGAAATCTCCCTAGTGCCAGATCTCTCCTCAGACCTGTAATGGCTTCCTCTGATATGGTATCTCTAATCTTGCTCTCCTCTATTCTTCCCCCAACTAAACATTTCAGGTCCTCCATTTCCTCCTCTCCTCTCCTCTTCTCCTCTTCTCATTCTGGCAGCTCCCTGTCCCCTACCCTCATGCTCCCAATTAGCTCATGAGCTCCTGCCCCTTCCCATTCTCTGGGGTCCATGCATTTTTCTCTTAGAGTCCTTCATGTTTCCTAGTTTCTTTGGTGAAGAGGATTGTATGCTGGTAATCCTTTGCTCTACGTCTAAAATTCATATATGAGTGAGTACATACCATGTTTGTCTTTTTGTCACTGGGTTACCTCACTCAGGATGGTTTCTTATAGTTCGATCCATTTGCCTGAAAATTTCAAGATTCCATTGTTTTTTTCTGCTGAGTAGTACTCCATTGTATAAATGTACCATATTTTCTCTATCATTCTTCAGTTGAAGGGCAACTAGGTTGCTTCCAGGTTCTGGCTATTACAAACAATGTGCCAGAATAGATGGTCATTGGTGTTTTTTATTTTAGCCATTCTGGCCGGTGTAAGATGGTATCTCAAGGTTGTTTTGAGTTGCATTTCTCTGATGGCCAAGGATTTTGAGCATTTTCTTAAGTGTCTTTCAGCCATTTCAAATTTCTCTCTTGAGAATTCTCTATTTAGTTCTGCACCCCACTTTTTTTTCAATTCTCTTCCTTTTTTTTTTAAAATTTATTTTATGTTTTGCCATGGGTGTCAGGTCCCCTGGAACTGGAGTTACAGACAGTTGTGAGCTGCCATGTGGATGCTGGGAATTGAACCCGGGTCCTCTGGAAG